TATTGAATTGAAATAGAGTGCTGGAAGTGGACATACACATTGATCTCGGTGTGAAAAAATGGAAGAACCAGTAACATGCGGCTTTGCAGTTTTCCTGTGGGGAGGAGTGAGCTTGTAACTTGGCTCCTGCTGATCCTGGAATGGCAGGCCGATTGGAGAGCACTTTTCTGAGCACTCTCTAAGAACTGGCCACATAATGTGTGTGTGGGTGAGTGTGTGTGTGTGTGTGTGTGTGTGTGTGTAGTAAGTAGTTCACAAGTTTTAAAACTCTTTAAGAAATTAAAATTAAAACATTTTGAAAATCATGTAACAGGAGACCCATTTTTATTTACTGTTGACTGGGCAGCCAAATTATTTTAAAATCATGTGGGGAACTGTGGTTTGAGAAAACATACCCAGCTCCTAGTTAAGAACTGTATCTTGAAGGCCAGTTTTATTGGTTGGTAGAAATAGGAAATCCTGAGCCCCACATGAACAATATGTGTGCTCAACACTGGAGCCCCCCAGGGCTGTGTGCTCGCCCCCCTCCTGTTCATACTGTACACCCATGACTACATCCCCTGAAATGGAGATAACTTGTGAAGTTTGCAAATGACACCACCATCCTGTCAGATGTCAAACAATGATGAGACTTGATATCGGGAGGAAATCCACAATCTTGCAGAGTGGTGAACAGTAAACATAAACCACTGTGTAACATTAGCAAAACCAAGGGGCTGATTGTTGATTTTAGGAAAAAAGAGGCAAAGACACACACCCCCATCAGTTTTAGTTTAATTCCCGGGAATCAACATCACAGAGAACCTATCTCAGGTTCTCATAAACTATAATTTTTAGGGGAACGTAAGAAAGGACAATTCCTGTGCCAAGTTTTTGTTAACTTTTACAGAGGAGTGATAATAAGCGTCTGGAAACAACCACGGCCCAGGACAGGAGGTGTATTTTTTTTTTGGGAACTACAATCTGAATTTCATTACACAACCCTTCATTTAAAAATTACATTTAAAATATATTGTATCCTTGTATCAACACATGCATGGTTATTCCAAACAAACTAGAAATGTACTGAGCATCACCTGTGAGCAGAGGATTTCTCCCAGGAAATAACTACTCACTAAACTGTCTCAAATAAATAAATACTACAAAAAACTCACTGTATCTTTGGATTTCAGATAGTTGTTAAAGAAAACATCTAATTGAAGCTGTTTAAGCTGTTTAAGCTTTTAACAAAGAGTAAAAGTCAGTAATTTATAGATTAATTGATGATTGATTGAAAATACTAATTAGTTGCAGCCCTATGATTACCTAGAGTGAGAGGTAAAATACAAGGCCTGGAGAGTTCATCTTTTTCCTGTCCTTCTCTTGCTTATTTGTTGAGGAGCAGGCATTAGCAGATGAAGTATCATGTAAGGTCGATCAGTATTTGTGATAACTCTGGAGGGCAGTTCAATATATGGATTTGTTTATCTCCTCTCTGCATCCACAGGGGGCACCTCCACCACGCTCCCTGCTCAGCATGGAAACAGGAACACAACAGGTTGCACACCCGACTGAACAAAAACTGAATGAACGTTGGCCTTTACAGTGAAGGAAGTTCATGAAATGCTCAATAATGTGAGTCTTTGATGTAATATTTACTGTTTTAAAAGCTCTGCAGGGAATTAAGCCTGATTTGATACAGAATTTATCAGCTGGTAATAGAGACAGTGTTTTGCTGTGTCAGCAGGCTTCCTACTGTAATATTGTTTTTTCCAGCACTGTTATTATCTCGATGGAGTGCTTATTTTTCTCTTTGATAAACCTAACAAAAAGATCATTATAACTTTCCAACAATATTCCAGTAGTGCCTTCTAATATGTTTGTGGAACCCAGTAATGGGTTTGTATTAGGGACTGTTTCTCTGTGATATTGTAACATCTAAAATGTTGTTCACATCTTCTAAACATGGAAATATGTATAGTATTTATTTTGCTTAAGCCACAATGTGCACTGTGCCGTACTGACGTATAGCCTATTAATGTACTGTAAGTTGTGGCCAGATTCACCTGCAAAAAGGAATGCCCACCACGTGAGCACAATAATAAACTAAAATAACAGAGATCTTAAAACTATATTTTAAAGGTCCTATATGTAACTTTCAGAAAAACATTGTAAATAATATGACACTGCAGTTGGCATCCTGTTGCTCGTGTTCGCACTCTGGTCACAGCCCGTAGACAAGAACAAGTGTCATACTGGGCATCGCTAAAAGTGACATACCCGAGAATGATTGCTGAAATGAACAGTGAATGCTGGAATAAATTACAATCACTTTTAGAATAACATTGTGATCTGCAGTGTTCCTATATTTTATTTGGACCACTGACTCTTTGCTACTAACTAGCCAACAACACGAAGCAACCAATACCAGACCCACACCACACAGCCAAGCCACAGCCGGCAGACCAACCCCAAATTAGTTTAGGTTACATTTAGCTAGTTGGCTGCCCCTCTCGCTAGAAAGCAATCATTAGTCATACACCTTTGCATTGTTTGTCATAAAACATATCAATCATGTAGTAATGTAATTTTGCAAGCTAGCCAAATAACACATCCACTGAGATAGTATTTTGCAAATGATAATGTTAGCAAGGCAAGCAAAGGTTAGCCAGCTAAATAATGTTATCTGGCGCTGACTGACCCACAACACCATCCGACAAAGTAACCTGCAAATCAGTCAATTTAGCAGCCAGCTAGCTGACGTTGGAACTTGGAATCTACATAAACATCCCATCCAACCCCTAAATAGAAATCAGTCCCCAGGCTGGTATAAGCAACCAAGAAAGATGTAGGAGGTCTCAGTTTTAAGTTACGTGATAACCCGTTCCCAAATAGCAATAATTAGTGATTAATACATTAAAATTATACCAAAAATGCCTCAGAATCTTACATATGGCGCCTTGAAAACAAGGCCCCTCTTTAAGACAGGGCAAAAAGATTAGGAAATAATGCTCGACCCTTCATAGTTGATACTTTCTTGTTCGAATTTCTTAAATAAATTTGCAATCAATAAACTGAAAAGGAGTGAAGTTATGTCGTGCTGTATATGTTGGTCATAATAAATAACTGCAAACCCACTGTGACTTGCTGGTTTTGTGAGTTGTGTAAGTCCCAGTCATACTTCTCACTGAGTCAATCTACAGTCCTTCTGCTTCATCAGCATCATCATACTTCTCAGTTAGACAGTTTGCTTACTTCATAAGTGAGGGCGAAGTTAAGGGTAGAGTTTGCAGGCTGGTAGAAATTACATTTATATATTACTAAACAGTTTTAAATCTTTTCCTGGATTATGTTCAGAAGCACAGTGAGTTGATCCGGATGACCTGATGTTGAGTCTACAAAGTGGGTCTTTGACACCAGAGACCAGATTTGTATCCAGGCTGAGTTTAGGTTTAAGCAACAGAAGTCATTTAGTTATGGTTAGGGAAAGATTGTGGTTTCGGTTAAATGTCAAGACTTTTTCTGTATTAAACCAGGACTATGATCTTTCCCAAACCTTAACAAAGTGCTGTTAGTGTCCAAACACAACCATAAAAAGTGTATGAATGCTGTAGAGCAGGCTTGTATTGCAATATTTTGAAGGAAAACATATACACTGTCAGTGAACATTTCACTGTTGTCTTTAGTGTCAGCAGGTTTGCTAGACATCCAGAGAGATGTCCTCATTTAATAGAAAAACATAATTTTCAGGACATGGTGCAGGCTCTCTCAGTCTCTTTTGTCTCTGCACGTTTCAGATTTCTTGTTTTATCCTTTCAGGTCAGGGTTACATTAACCTGAACAAAATCTTAGCCCTAATCCCAACCAATCATCTGTGTAACCCCAAACATGGCGGGTTTTCGAGTGGAAACTGATCTCCAACACAAGACTGGGTTATCTTCATGTGAGCACAGACAGCATCAGTCGGTAACGCTGTCAGTTCTTACAACCTACTGCAGCTACACCTCAAAGAAAGAGTCCCTGAAGTAATTCTTCGGGGAGTGATAAATAAGTTGTAAGATCAGCAGCTTTAGGTTAGATCAAAACACACCAACCTGCAACCCCCATGTGCATCTGTGCTGGAAAAAACGTTTGAAAAAAATCTTATATTCCTGCTACAACTAGCTCACTTGTATATTAAAGTGGCTTCTTATGATATTAATAATACTATATATATAATACAGTTTTGTCCTGCTGCTGAAACAAACAGCAAACCAAAGTGTTTCTCATCTTTCAAATCAGCATCAGATCTATGGACTCAGATATTGGCAAAAACATAACACCAGCCTTCATATCAGGTGGTAAGATACTAGAAAGCCTTATCAAATTACTGTCAAAATTGATTCCAAAACACACACCTGCCTGCTGCTCGCTAACAATGACAACATCTGGCACGTCAGCTGCGAGAAAACACATCACCGTTAGCAGTTGGACCATGGAAGAAACAACCTGGGAATGTTTTATTTCCGATTAAGGCTTTATTCATTATTTTCCAGCTGAGTATAAATAATCTAATTTTAAAGGTATTACGGGATACATTAAAAAAAAAAAAAAAAGGTGGTCAGACTGTGGCATAGAATAAATGCTAACTTTCCGTAAGCAATTCTGTTGAGTACAAGATATCATTGATTCTTGCTCAGCTGTCCAATGTTGTATTATCAGTCTCCAGTGCTGTCTGAACCCATTCATCAACTACCTTTGGCAGATACACCCAATCTCCTCAGGTAGAATGAAAACAGGGAGCCAATAACTTTTGCAGCAATGTTTTTAAAGAGGAAACTATTGGATCTCGTGCCAACTCCAAAATACACTCAACCCAGCAATGTCTGTACATTCTCACAGATGGAGGAGCATGTAATGCAGGTTTTCAAAACATAATTTCATTATTTACATCTACTACTTTAATGCTGGCAGTTACAACATGTATCTTAGAGCCAAGACACATGCAGTCTCACTAATCAGGTTTTGGATTTTGTCCTTACCTTGTTCTTTTTAAACAGCCAGTGTTCCTCCGTGCCTCCTAGCGGCTGTTTCGATGCTGCATTTAATATCTTAGTTTTACATTGTATATGCTCCTTGAGACTGCGGAGGGATGAGGACAGAGAAAAAAAGAGGAAAGTTTAGAGTATTATGAGACTCGTATTACCTCCCAGTCAATTCAATCAATTTACTTCCTTTCACCAAGATAATCCACTCATCAATACTGCTTTCCAGGGAGCTCTAGGTACATATTTTTAAAAAACAATACATTAAAACACAACAAACAGTCAGTCGGTATTCTGCACTATGTAAAAAAATTATTTAAATTGTAGCTGCATATAGTTGCACCTGCACTTATGCAATAACACCCTAGGTCACAGCTGATCATTTTTCTTTTTAAATGTCACATGAACCAATATCATATATCATATTAGTCAGCAGAGGAGATGCTAATGCCACATGTGCTGTTTATATGAAAAATAAAATATCTTTTCATTTAAAGCACAAATGTTTGTTTGGCATTGACTGAACTAACTTGGAGGTTCCTTGTGGATAAGCAAGTGGAAAGAAACAAGTAATGAAAAGTAATACATTAAACAACATAAAATACAAAATATGAATATCATAAATATTAATGAATATGTATATATTGCTGTGTTTGCTTATTTAAATAGCCTACAGTACGCTATGGGCTGACTCTATGGGGAAATATTCTATAGCCTATTCAATTATTTCCAATTATCTTTACACGTTTTATCAACCAAACATATTTCACTAATGACGATATGGGGGTACAACTCCAAGTCCCAGAAGGCCTTGCGCCGCTCACTGGCGTGTGTGCTCTGCATGCAGTGGAGAGAAATGTAGAGTGTTTGGAGGCGGAGAGTCAGTCAGCTCACTGTGGAGCTGTGTCGGGCAGCAGGAGGAGCCGACACCGACAGAAAGGACCGAGTCAAAGAAAGACGGCAACGTCGCTCTAATGCACGAAGACGGGCTTTGAACCTCACCGGAGGAAACGGTCGGCTGCTTCACGTGAGGGTTTACCGAGGACAGAAAGGGTGTTGACTCTACGGACACAGCAACCCCCCCTCCAAAAAAAACAAAAAAAAAACACAACAGCAAGAGGAATCGGCAAGAGGTGAGGGGGAAACCGTTTGGGGATGAGAGAGAGAGAGAGAAGAGAGAGAGAGAGACATTTGAAACTGTAGCGAGAACAGTGAAACGCTCCACAATTGGCTAAATTGAAGTTTGAGGAACAGTTTTGCTAGACTGCAGTTACACGACAGGCGACACCTTTATTTATTTGGTGGGTTTTCTCCTTAACGCGTGCAACTGTTCGCTCGTCTGGAAAGGGCTTTTTTAAAGCCCCCCCCCATAGGTGTAAATTGTATCCCATTTGAAAAGGGTGAGGTTGGTCTGGCCGTACAAAAGACTTGTGCTGCCTCTTCAGTCACCGGAGTGAAGTCGTGTCGTTAGCTGGGATTATTTGTCGCCCTCCGCCTGAAACCCAGCCGAGCACCGCTGTATCCAGCATTGATCCGCCGGGCTTTGTGTGTCGGCGGCGCCTGTAGAGCAGCAGAAAGGTGGAAGTGTACGGCAGCCCGTGTTAAAACCTTGTTATTTGGCAGCGTTACAAACTAACCAGCAGCACTGTTGGTGTGTGTGTGTGTGTGTGTGTGTGTGTGTGTGTGTGTTTTCTCTGTCAGTGTCTGTGT